GGATTATTAACTTTGAACCCAGGAGGAAACAGTTTCTACCATGCTGAAAAGTAAAAAGGTGAGGCCAGCATACTGTAAACTAAATTTCATTTGATTGTAAACAGTACACAGAACACTAATGATTGTATTATTTTTCTTTGAATTTAACTGAATCCTTAAATTATAATTTGATGCTGTGAAGGGTTTTTCCCATAGAAATCCAAGGACCTTGCCCCAGACACCTTTTCATTGGCTGTGACTGGAAGCAATTAACACTAGCTGATCTATAACTACGGAGAGAGAGAGAAAGAAAAAGATGATCCCCTAAGTGTTTGCAAACCCTTGACTATCAGTTTATTACTTTTAAAAAGTAAAGGCTTTGTTCAGAGGATATCGAGAAGAATTAGTAAATGCCTTACTGCTCTTCAGTGTATTTTCTTGATGGTAACCATGTATCTCTTGGGAATAATGTAGTTCAAAATGGCTTTCACACACATGTGTAGCTTCAAGTTTTCATCTGACTACACAGGGGTATGCTTTGTTAAGCAACCTTGTCTGTGCAATTACAAAATTGCCTATGCTTCCAACTGGTAAGTCTCTCCTCTGAGATTTTGCAGATAAACATTCAGAGTATTAATAAAGGCTTCTATTGGCAAGTTGAGTGATTTAATATCTCTTATTGGACTAATTTCTCTCAGTGAGGGACAAACTTTTGGGCTTTTCCTCAGAAAGGTACAGGGACTGCCTCAACTACATGCACAGTCCCTTAGAACATGTGCAAAATATTTATGCTCAACTCCTTCTTGTGTTCAGAGTAGAGCAGGTATTTAGCAGTGACAGAATCTGAGAAAGAGCTATATATAGCATGAAAGCTGATCTCTTTCACTGACAGAGTTTAGGCCAATAAAAGCTATTACATCACCCACACTCTCTCTCTAATATCTGGGACCAACATAGCTACAACTGTGTTGCATAAAGGCCAAGATTGTCACTGCAGTTTCCTCGAGGACAGGTAGCTGTGGGAAGGCAATCTACAACCAGTACTGATCAGATTACATCCTCATTTATGCCAGTCTTATGCTGTTAGCTGTTGTGCTGGGAGGAGCAGTCACTTACTTGCCCTGCCTGTCCACTTGCATGAGTGTAAATAGCAGCCCTGTGGAGATGACCTCACCTGATGCAGGCAGCCCATGGGTCACACTGCCATCTTGCCCAAAGCCCAAGTCATGCTTTCCTAAGTTTGTTGTGTGTTAGCCATTTCCAAAACTAAAATAATTGATTTTGCTCTTTCTAGCCAAGGCTCTCACAGGTTATGTCTACACTTGCACCCTCTTTTGAGAGAGAGATGCAAATGCAGCTGAGCAAAACTGCAAATGAAACATGGATTTGAATTTCCCATACTTCATTTGCATACTCATGTTATGATGCTATTTTGAAATACCAATATTTCAAAAAAAGAAATGATGCCTAGACGCAGTTATTTTGGGAGCAAACCCTTCTTCTGAAATAACTGTTATTCCTCCTACAACAAGGATTTTCCAAAGAAGGGTTTTCTTCCGAAATAATTGCGTCTAGACAGGTTTCTTTTTTCGAAATAGCGCCATAACGCAAATATGCAAATGAAGCACGGGATATTTAAATCCTGGCTTCATTTGCAATTTTGAATGTCTACATTTGCATCCCTCTCTCGAAAGAGGGTGCAAGTGTAGCTGTACCCACAGTCTTTATGCCACGTCTACATTACCCCAGAGCTGTTACAGCACTGCTGCTGTAGCATCATAGGGTAAATACTTCCCACATGAATGGAAGGTTTTTTTCCTCATTGATGCAGGGGAATACATCTCTCAAAGCAGAGGAGGCGAGGTCTATGGGTGAATTCCTCTTTGCCCTATCCGTGAGGTGGAGCAGAGGCGGTTAGGTAGACCTAACTGTGAATGCTGATTCTTTTCACAGCTCTGAGCAGCTCAGCTAGATTGATCTCATTTTTAAGTGTAGACTGGGCCACCAGTCTTTGCAGAAGGGCCACTCAAAGAATTTTGTTAGGTATTCATAGGCTGCACTTTATTATATTAATGGAGGGATTGGGATGGAGTTTGGGTGCAGAAGGGTTCTCTAGGCAGGGATTGGTGTGCTGGAGAGGGGTCTGGGAGGGAGATTAGGTGTGGGAGGGGATTCTGACCTCGGGCAGGGGGTTGCAGTGCAGGAGGGGGTGCAAGGTACAGGCTCTGGCCCTTGCTGGGAGGCACTTACCATAGCAAGCTCCTAGTTGGTGGCATATGTAGCCAGACAGGAACCCCCTGCCACATGCATCTTGCTTGCCCCTCTAAGATGCCTCAGAAGCACACAGGGCACAGAGAGCAATAAAATCAGCATAGTCTTTGATGCCTTAACAGAAGGCCCGGATATGCTGGCTCATCGTGACCCTGGACAACTGTAAACATAGATAAGAGGGCCATCAAGCCAGTTGTCAACTAAGAGGCTGCAGAAACTGCCCTTGGCTAGCACCGATATTGATACAATCACACAACCGTCCCGGGAGGCACCCGCTGCGTAAAGAATGTCCAGTACTCCCAATTTAGTTATCTCCCTCTTACAAGTGTAAATTACGTTCACAACTCCCTTGTGAGAACTGGCGTCACAAAGACGAACCAGCACAATTTGGCACCTTACATAAGAAAGAGAATACGGGACCCCACGGGTATAAAGATGGGCCCAGCAGCACACTAACTTTGAGTATCAATCTACCATCTACCTGCTGGTCGGGTTATGTGATTGACTCCCGAGGTCCACATGGGGACGCCCAGCCTCGTATTCGTCTTTCTGAGGAATTGAGTAACCGATCCTGGCCTGACACACTGGAATCGAGAGACGCAGAAGGGGGTAAAAATTGTACCTGTGTGTCCTTTTGTCTTAGTGCATGCATGGAATTAGAGCTCTATAAAGATTAAACTGTTACTTGGTACCATTATTTTATCTTCTTTCCTTTGTAACCATTTTAAAGATCTGTATTTGCTAGCAGTTACGAAATAGAGCAATAGCCACTGTAACCATATGTTCTATAAATTTCTTTAATAAATCTGTAAATGTTTAAGCTTTAACCTAACTCCTTCAGTTGTTGTAACAGAACCAGACACAATCAAAAGAACTATAGCTGGTCAGGGGTAGACGCAGTGAGAGCTGGGCATTGGGTTCTGCTGCCTCCACGGGGCAGACCCTTGGGGCACCCGTCAGCCTCTCTTGGCTACCTGCTGCGAAGGGACCCTGTCCTAGCAGCTAAAGACTCAGGTGTAATTCTTTGGGGCACCCGTCAGCCTCTCTTGGCTACCTGCTGCGAAGGGACCCTGTCCTAGCAGTTGAAGACTCAGGTGTTTAATAGGGCTCACAGACCACTCACTGCCCCGACCACCGGTTGACAGCATAGCAGGGCGCTCAGGATGGCTGCCTGCATGCCACGGTGGTCCCCCACAGCTCAGAGCTGCCAGCTGCTACTGGCAAGCATGTCTCCCATTTACCACTCACCCAATTTTTATGTCACCATTGTTGTCTTCTAGGTCATTGATAAAGATGTTAAACAGCATAAGACCAAGGACTTCATTGCAAACTTATCTGTTGGATGAATATTTCCTGGTTATGGTTATATTCTGAAACCTATCAGTTTTTACTCCACTTCATGTGTGCCATGTCAGAAAATTAGATGAAACTAATCATAATGTCATGCAGAACCAAATCAAATGCCTTACAGAAGTCTAAATACATCTCATCAGGATGATTACCTTTATCAACCAAACTTGCAACATCATTACAAATATTCAAGTTAGTCTGATGGAATATTTTTCCCACAAATCCATAGTGGTTTGCATTAATTACATTACCCTTCTTTAGATCGGTATTAATCATGTGCTTTGGTATCTTGATTTTGTTCTCAATTATATTTTCTCATTACAGGCAGTCCCCGAGTTACGCGGATCCGACTTATGTTGGATCCGCAGTTACGAACGGGGCTTTTCTCGCCCCGGAAGACGGGAGCGGCGGGACGCCCAGATGAGCCGCAGTCCCGCCGCCCGCGTTCTCCGGGGCGAGAAAAGCTGCTCCCCGTCTCCCTGGTCTGCTGGTCAGACCAAGGAGACGGGGAGCAAAGCCACGGAGCACGCCCACAGCGGGACAGCCCAAGCGCACCTGGGCTGTTCCACTGCGGGCGTGCTCCAAGGCTTTGCTCCTGTCCTCCTAGTCTGCTGGGGGGGCAAAGCCGCTGGACCCCCCCAGCAGACCAGGGACACCAGAGCAAAGCCGCCCAAAGACTGGGAGAAGCTTTTCTCGCCCTGGAGGACACGGGTGGCGACCCGCTGCCCGTGGGCTCCGGGGCGAGAAAAGCCCCGTTCGTAAGTGCGGATCCAACTTAAGTCGGATCCGCGTAAGTCGGGGACTGGCTGTACGAGAGTTGCTCTGCCCCCGGCTTCCTGGAATCAGCTGCTGATCAGTTTCAGCAGCAGCTGACTTGGGGACGCCTGGGGTTCTTAAGTTGAATCTGTATGTAAGTCAGAACTGGCATCCTGATTCAGCCGCTGTTGAAACTGATCAGTTTCAGCAGCGGCTGAATCTGGACGCCAGTTCCGACTTACATACAGATTCAACTTAAGAACAAACCTACAGTCCCTATCTTGTACGTAACCCAGGGACTGCCTGTAGTTCCTTACAGCCAAAATTTGTAAATATCTTTAGAATATCTGATTTATAGTCAATTATTTAACAGCAAAAACAGCCGCTGTTGAAACTGATCAGTTTCAGCAGCGGCTGAATCTGGACGCCAGTTCCGACTTACATACAGATTCAACTTAAGAACAAACCTACAGTCCCTATCTTGTACGTAACCCAGGGACTGCCTGTAGTTCCTTACAGCCAAAATTTGTAAATATCTTTAGAATATCTGATTTATAGTCAATTATTTAACAGCAAAAATAATAATACAACAAGCTAATGAATACGCTAAACTACCATCAGACACAAAGAACTCAAATCACACATTGAAAATACCACAACAATATTTATTAAAAACAAAATTAATACATGATAGTCAATATTTTCATCATCTTTCCCTTTGTCCTTTCTCAGGTCAGTCCCAATTGTCTCCTGGTCTTCATTTTATTCTGGAGATGACCATTTGCTTTCAACTCCTAAACCTTAAAATTCTAATGTCTATGAGACAGATGTACTTCCTTTGGCAAGGAATGTGAATGCACATGTGGTCAGACAGGATAGATTTATATTCTAGGCACGAAGACTTGGAATAGATTCTTTGGATGAAATCTTGGCCCCATAGAAATCAGTATGAATTTTGCCATTGACTTTAGTGGGGTCAAAATACCACCCTTGGAAACCACATGTTCATACTCTGGAATAATTCTATAATGACCAAGGACACGTGTTAGAAGACAAAGTACATACATACAATAGATTGCATGACATGTATTGTATGTCTTTTAGATGAGAGCTTTAAAAAATCCAGCTTTTTGTGGACACAGAGAGATGTCATGGCATTCTGTGGCAGTGTTGGCCAGTTCTTCGCCACAGTTTTCTCATCCCACTGATGAGCTACAATACTCTTCCATGGAGATAGCTGCTCTTCTGTAGCACTGTATGGGTATAATAGTCTAAAATAATATGAATCCAAATTGCACTCTGTGAATTGAGAAGCAGGAAGTACACTGCACAAATGGAATGGGAGAGGGATAATTGGGATTCATTTCTAGTGCTACCCCCAGTACTGGGAATGAGCAAAGGTCACTGTGTGAAAACAAAGCGTTAATAGTACCATGAATGATCTGTAACATACAATAAACCAGTCTAATTGCAAAAAAGCTAGGTTTGATTTCCAAATATTTTAAGCGTGTCTGATTCTATCACAGAGTGTCTTCATGGTATAAAAATAAAAAGTTTCTCTTCACACTACTAGCCTTGAAAAGTAGTATTGATAACACATAGCATATATAATCTGGAGCCAATAATCTAAGTCTGATCAAAGACCACAATTTAAAGGGATAATGTTTCAGATATGAAACCAGAGGAACAAAGGTAGAGTGCATTTAGAAATCGCCATTCAAATGATTGGATATCTTGGTTTCTAGTGCCACCTGCTGCAAGAGCACTAGCTCTTTTCCCCACACTTTTTCTAATTTGATCTAATGAGAAACTTACAAGTGTATTAAAAATAAATCTGGTTTTGGTGAATTACATAGCCCAAATAAAAGCAAACAAGTGATATAAGGAGATTGTTGTATTCATGTAAAATTAATTTAGGTACAGCGAATCTCTGCTTATATGGAAGTTGTTCTTTGTGGGAGGAGCAGTCATGGTGGGAGAATGGGGAACTACTTTCAGCACAAGACTTTTCCTCTCTAAATATTCCTCTGATGGTGACATCAATGATACAATTCCCCTGAATTAAGAGAAAAGGGAAAGTTTGTTCACTCAGAAGATTAATCATTCAAGTACTCTAAATTAACATCCAGCGTGCCAAACACGGAGCGTAATATATTCAGAACCTTTTCTTGAATAAGGTCTACTTGCTCTGAAGGACAATAGTCATCCAAACTTGATCTGCAACAATGATTTAAAAAAAAACAAAACATCCATAATAAGAAAAAGACTTTTTGAATATTTTGCACATGAAGAGCCCCTTATATCCAGGGATTTCAAAGCGCTTAAAACACTAAAAGTTCTGCCAGTCCCTTGGCCTCTCTGCGGAGTCTTTTTTTCTAGATCTCCTCTTGGTCTTGGTCTTGGTCTTAGAAATATCTTCCTCTTGGTTTAGGGTCTCCACAGCTGTAATTGTGCCTGGATTCCCAGTTTACCATCAGGCTTAAGGTCCTGTTTTAAGGAACTTTCCTTTAAGTCTCTCAACTCTAGGCTCCCGCATCTGAACTCAGCACAGTCCTTCACTTGCTGAGCATTACCATCAGCTACCTCCCCACCCCCATTCCCAGCCTATCAGATCTGTCGATCCTTCCTGAGAAAACCTAAACTTGAAAGACCCCAGGTATGGGAAGGGATGGTCCCAGCACACACTGCCCTTAAAAGGAACAGGTCACCCTGCTGCATGTAGGAAGCTCCACAGTACATTGAAAATCCTTTAGTGCAATACAGGCTGGCTTGTTAAAGCATATTTACTGCCAGAGCTTGCCAAGCGGCGGTGAGCCCCACTTGCCAGCCGCGCGGAACCGCATGCTGCGTGGCTGCGCCGGGCTAAAATCTACTTGTCACGGGTGAGTAGATTACATTAATTGTCAAGCCCTGTTTATTGCAGCAAACAGATGTTAAATTCACTTTTAGGTTTATGATATTAACAAATATGTTCTTACCGAGCAATTGTCACAAGCGTGGGCTTTGGTAGTTTTTTCAGTACCTGCTTTACAGATTGTACGAGGCCCTCTATCTCCTGTTCAGTACTAACATGATGGGGGAGTTCAGAATAATCACAGGTAAGACCAGCCTGATGGACCTAAACATAAATTAGACACAGATTTCACTACTGCATAAAGTGGATGATTAAAATTAACAAGAAATGTTACTATTCACAAAACTGATCTATACAGAATAATACTTAAATTGTCTATAAGGGCTTAGCAGCTACTGTACTTCTTTAAAATAATTATTTATTACGAGTACAGAAATGTATTTAAAAGCACACACATTATTTGTATTTATACTTTTAGATGTTGCTAACTAGTTTAATTGCTTGTTGTAATGTACCTCCCTTTTCCCATCAGAGGATTCAGGAAGCCTATGGTGGTGAAAGCTAAGGTCTTAAAAAGAGGGCGAGGGTGGGAAGGACTGTTTCAACTTAAGTTTTGAAGTCTTTATTTAGAGAGCCAAATGAGTGATCAGTCTGGAACAGCAGCAGCTATGCACTCTGACCAATTAAGCAGTCTGCTTCCAGTTCCTCCGACCAATGACTTACCATTTCATAGTCAGGGGCTTCCATCCTGTTTTTCAAACTATGCACAAGCTGAACCAGTGGTTTCATTCTGGGGATAAAAAGAAAACACACTTTTTGACCAGCCCTAGTCATTACAGCACCAGACATACTGGAAGGGGTGAAGAGAAGTCAGTAGAGTAGCATAGCGAGACAATCTCCTATGTAAGTTGATACCCAACTCTACGTAAATGAGGTGCCCTTCTCCATACTTCTCCCAGATATGTAGGTTTGGGGGACTGGGTCTGCCCCATAGCTATCACACCTGTACTTAATGTAGCCAGAAACTCTAAGGATATATTACCATGGCTGGCATTGTGTCTCAGGAACAAAGCACAGGCTTCCTGGGACTTCCCCTGCTACTGTGGAAGAGGAAAAATGCCAGCTCCAAGGCACTGCTTTCTCACCTCAACCTGCCCCTGAATTCAGGCTGCATGGGACTGGGGGAAGAAGTCATTCTCTCTGACAGGACCTCCTTGTAGCTCTTCTAGATACCCCATGAAGAAGTTACTTTTTCATGGTCATATTAATTCTACCTGAGTTTCATCCATGGTTGTTACTCAGAAGCCACAGTGGGACTTTGCTAATGGCATCACTACAGGTGGGAGAAATATGGGGATTAGGAGGTTCACCATGGAAGAATGTGGCTTTTGTCTAAACTGTTGATTGAAGAGAAAATTTTGAGTAGGAAAAATTGACAATGCTTATTGGGAGCTTGAGTGTCTCATGCTTTTTCTTGTCTGTGGACTAAGCTTATCAGGTAGCCTCCATCTCCCATGAGGCACTGCTGCCTCACCTCTTGCTGAACCACAACTAGTCACTTACATCCCTAGTGTTGAGTCACTACTCCACAAGTCGCTTCTCCCCCTGGTGGCTCTTCCTACATTTGAAAAGCAGAGCTGCAGCGGGGTTAGCTCCCAGGGCCAAAAGCTAACCTGCTGCGGCTCTGCAGTTCCCCCTTATCAACTAATCAAGTAGTCAATGAAAATTCCATCGACTACTTGATTAGCTGATTAAATGCAATTTAACATCCTTACACAACACATGACAGGAGATGGCAGTCTGGCTGTGAAACCCAGTTTGCAGAGGAGACAACTGAATGGCAACTCCCAGGCAGCGCTGTGGCACTATTACTAAACTGAAAAAAATGTAGATGTTCAGTTTTGACCCAAAAACGTCTATAGAAAACAGACACTTTTCAACTAGCCCTTGTCATTACAGCTCCTTTAAAAGTCATTTTGGAGGGGTAAAGAGGGATAAGAAAAACAGCACGAAGAGACAGGATCTCCTATCTCAGTTGATTACCACGTCTATGTAGATGAGGTACCCTTCACCATACTTCCCCCGCAAAAGTAGGTTTGAGGACTGAGTCTGCCCATCACTGAGTCCTCAGTCCTTTCCCCCAATCACCCTTCTATGCCCTTCCTTAGGGTTTTCTAGATAAGGTCAAGATTTGGCCAAATGTTTTACAATTATAGTTTGGTGGCATAGAACATGAAGTATCAAACAATTACAACTGCTCCTCTTGCACATCGGCAATATTTAAAAATAAACATCCAACTATTCTGCCTGCTGTTTTGCATTAATTTTAATTCTTAGTATTCAGCTCTTTTAAGTGTTCACAAGCCGCCATCCGAGCACAGCAAAACTGTTCAAACACAAATGTTCTCCCTCTCTAAATTGCTTCTACTAACACTGGAAATGCCAGTTTCAGTCACCACCTTTATTAATGCAGGAGAGGGCAGTTTTTCACAGCTGCAGTTTGGAATTAATGAAGAAATATTACAGATTTCTCCTTACAAATTCAGTGTTCTGAAAGTATCCCTGATTTCAGATGCAAGCAGTAAGAACTAAACTTGATTCCTGGACATTCCAGCTGATCATTCCACAGTAGGTGGAGTTTGCCCCTCATCCTACATCCATAGAAAGGAGGAGGGATTTAGTCCTTAGTAGCCAGGAATCTTGGGAGTGCCAAGAGAGGCCAGGTGCATCTGCAGAGAGATGCCACCAAGCTCCCGTATTGACTACTATCTTAGAAGTGTAGTTCACGTATGAGGATTCCAAAATCACTAAGGCTGAATAGTTCTGCCTTGACTTACTTGGGTTCCCATTCAGAGTTAGTGGAAAAATGTTGTAGAATGCAGCTACCCCTCTTGCCTGACTCTTCCATACCCCTGGGATCCAGGAAAATGGTGAGCCAACCAAGGATATCCACTATCCTGTTCTGCCCCTCCTTCCCTACTCACTTTCAGGTCAGAGATGATTGTGACAGACCATTTGACATTCCTTATGATAATATGCTGAATCATATCACGTAACTGGACTATGCTTTATGTGTGATACTTCATGTTAGATATCATTGGAAATGTTGTAATCTACTGAATATGATTATACCATTTGCATGCATCTATCATTCCTATATTTGAATGTTATTAATGTAGACATGCTAAGTGACAGTCATTAGAAATACTCCAAGAATTTAATGGACCAATACTCAGGACAATGATCTGTGAACAGAGGTGTTTTTCCTGTAAACCTGTGAGGAGGGGCTGTGGGGGCTCCTACCAAGACATATGGCCATGTCAGCTAATGCTGGGATCCATCTTGTATGCTGTATTTTCCCACAAGAGTGGAGGGAAAGTGAAGACTGAACTCAAAGGAAACCAAGCACTACAAGAAACCAAACTGAACTTTTTCTTTTACCTTGGAACTTAACTGAACAGAAGACGAGCTTACTTGCTTCTGTGACAGGGTCAGGCTGGAAGGCCAAATCAGAGAATGAGAAAGGCAGCTCGAAAAGGCAGCAAAGGCCCTGGCTAATGAGGAGCAGGGGAGATAGGGCTGCTGTAAATCAATCAGGGCCAGCTGTTCTCATTTGAGGCCGCCAAGGAGCCCTTTAAAAAGAGGCCTTCCCTGCTGGGAGGGGGGGAGAGTGGGAGTGAGATGAGACCAGAACAGATAGGGAGAAAACCAGAACAACTGAGAAAGGAAACACCAGAGACAAGAGAAAAATGGGGGAAGGGGGAGAGATATAAGGAGCTCCAACAAGGGATTCTGGGCTCCCTTTTACCTGTCAGCCTGAGAATCCAGCTGGTAGCTGGAGAGAACTGTTTACCCAGCCCAGGCCGTCCCAGGGGCACCTGTCCCTACGCCCTCTATAGCTGAGAGACAGAAGCTCAAACCCCGGCAAGGGCATGTAGGGCCAGTGTCACACTACCGAGACTACCCAGATTGTGGACTGAACAGGGCTCTGGGACACAGGAGTATGATTATCCTGCTACACCTGTAACTGAAGGTTCTTTGAGATGTGTGATCCCTTCCTGTATTCCACAAGCTACTAGCTGACCAGAGGGTTTTCTTTTAACTACTGAAATCTCTTACCTAGGATATGAAGCCCATCTTTGTAGAGTCTCTTCATTGTCATCGTCACATAAATCTGCAAAAGCTGCTTCCAAATCTTCTAGCTGATGGACACGATTTTCAACGCAGTCTTGCAAGCCCTCCTTTGAATGAACACACATGTAGATGTATTAGGAGCAATCCAAGCATAGGGCCTCATTTCCTTAGTTGAAGGACACTTTACTCAGTGGGTCAAATCCTCAAGTAATTGGTCTGATGGGAATAAGGGACCAGGGATTTCTGGGTGGCTGGTTTGTGGAATATGAGATCAGAATTAATGACCAGATTATCACCTTCAGAGCAATGCAGAACAAAACCCATCTCTGCCCAATAACAACAAAATGTTCTGCATCTATAGTTTGAAGGAAAAGTCTGGGAAGAACTAGAAGTATGTTGGATTAACTGCTGAATTTGTTTGTAAAGCTCTCAAATGTCATGATGATGAATGAAATATGAACACTTAGCAAGAGATGAGCAGTTTTGCCTCAATTAAAAAGTAGTACAGGTTTTTAAAAGCAAAGCTGGACACCTACTGATAAATCCAAAATTATTTTTATTTCAAAATGCACTATGCAAGTTGGAGATTTTTCAGCCACCTTCTGCCTGGACTGCATTAAAAAAGAACAATGAATTCTAGTTAAATGCCTCTTTCACTTGATTTCCGGGAGAAATCTATGGGAATCCATGAGAATATTGGCATGAGAAAACATGCAAGTATTTACAGGATCAGATTATAACAATATCAAATGATAGACTGTTTCATATCACGAGTATGAAAAGATGATCAGCACATTAAATGTAGACAGGAAAAATCACTAATATTTGACAGATTTTAAAATAAGGGATATGACAATTCTGTTTAGTTGGGAACCTGTCAGTTGCTGTGTCCCTGGGAGAATGTCAGCAACTAAACTACATATGCTTAAATGATAATATGAGATCCGATTCTGAGAGGTGCCACTGAAGTCACAACAGAGCATGGCATAAAAAAGTAGGCAGGTATTTTGAATGTAGCATTGGGGGATCAAGATTAATGGAAGATGAATGCATCAATCCCCCTCTACTTCTTTGAAAGATATGAATATTTTATAATTTAGCATGCTTCCAATTTACATCTAAATGCATCTATCAGACACAATCAAGAAGGGTGACTAGTGATTCAATTATATGTGCAGAGCCCAGATCTGGGCACAAACACCTCTGCTGGCTTCTCCACCTCCATCACATAGAAGTTACACTTCTCATTACTAAGTTTAAAGTGCGGTGTGATGCTACCCATGTCTTATTCAGCATTGCCCCTCCTAACCTTGTTCCTCACAACAGTCAGTGTCTCACACAAAGATCCCCATAACATCTTCCTTTGATGCTTCCTATGGCTACAGCACCCCTCCCCCGTCCCCATACACTTGCTACTTCCACCCTGATGCCTATGAGACTTTTGATGACTGTCAGACAAATATGGAGAGTACTGTAGGAATACATTTACACACTGATATTTACAAAATTGTTAGCACAACTGTACGTTTTGTATCTGCTTTGAGTCTTGTTTACGTTGTAACATCTAGGCTGGGATCATCTCAACTTTTTTCCTTTGGAAAGTTCCTAGTGTAACAGCCATCATCTTTGTTGTCATTGGGAACTGCACTAAGAGCTAAGAACATGAGTCTCTAAGGTGAGCTAAACAGTAGCCTAGTTGGCAGCTGGAACATGCTGATATATACTGTGAATCAGGAACAGATGGAGAATATATAATACCTACTAAAAAGTAGGTTACGCTACAATGATATAGACACTTCTGGGTATAAATAAATTGATGATAATACACTGAACGCAGATCAGCTATTTGTCACATCCCAACAACAAAGAAGAAATAAACTAAGGAGGAAAAGTAGAAGTGGAAACAAAAACACCATGGAGGATTTGTTTTTGTTTCACTTTTGTAAATTAGCATTTTGTTTACACACATTAAATTTTACATTCACACTAAATCTCTGTGCAGTTAACAGAACTGCCTAAAAATGTATGTTCGAAAAGCTTTCTGGATGCACTACAGAATAGCATTAAGCATGATACATGGCTTAAAAGGCAACCTGTTCATGAAGCATCTTTCACAGTTTTCCCTCGTGTGTCTCTGCTTCTTGTCACAGCTAAGGATCTTTGCAGTGTAACCAAAAATCATTTTCACATTCCTCACCTACCTCAAAAAGAAATACTGTACCTCTGTTGGATTTCTATCCGGCTTCTTAAAACTGTACAGCTCTTGCAAAATCTTGTATTCCTCCTTTAAGGAAACCAAAAAAAAGTATTTCAGGGGCTTCAACGGAAACATACTGAAATGGAAATACAGTGAAGCAAAACTTTCTGATTCCTGTACCTCCAAAGGCAAGCTACTTTTATAACAGACTTTAACAAGATAGCCTCATTCAAGCAACACAGCAGAAGGCATTCTATATGTGCTCATGATGAAAAGGCTCTGTGGCTTGAGAAGGCCACTCTGCATGACTTCATCTCCCCTACAAAAACATTTTGACCCAAATCAACAAAGCACAAAACCACATGTAAAACGTTCAATTTGACCTCAGTGTAATTAGTAACACCCTTAAAAATCAAGCAGTACCTGTCCCACACTCGCTACACTCATCAACCCGCCTCTCTCTAGCTGCTTTTGTGGCCAGAGAGTGTGACGACATCATTTTGTTACCCGGCAGGACATTTTTTTTTATAGAGAGAGATTATTATAACGCCACCCTCCTTCTCTCTTTCTTTTCATTCTGAAGTTGAAGAGCTTTCTTTGCAAGTTGTCTCAATGATTTCACACAAATGCTAAAACGGAAGGACATCAGACAGTCTGAGCAGAAGTTATACATTTATATAAAGGGAAAGGATGACTTGAGTAAACAGTAAAAGAAAGATAAAAAATTGCCCAAGTTGGGCTATGACCAGTGCATACACTATCCGTGAGGAAAAAGGGATATGGGAGCTTTAATTACCATTAGCAAGTTGCATCTTGGGCCCAAATTTTCCAAACTCGGTTGCCTAGTTGACAAAATCCAACTTTAGGCACCTCAATAAAAGTGTTTTGATTTTTACAAATAATGAGCACCTAAAAATTCCGTTTAAGACATAAGATTGGATGAGGCCAACTAGGTCATTGAGTCCAATATCCTACAATAATAGGCAACCCTGTCATATAATCCATGAATAAATGTATTAAGATCCATCTGAAAATGAATTAGCCTTCTTCCTCCACTGCTATGGAAGGCTGCTCCAAAACTTTATTCCTCTGATGGCTAGAGACCATCTGATTTCCAGCCTGAGTTTATACTCATTTGTTCTTGTGTCAACATTGTCTTTTAGCTTAAACAGCTCTTCACCTCTCCTGCTATTTACCTTCCTCGTGTATTTAGAGAGTGCAAACACTCTCCCCTCTCACTCTTCATTTTTCTAGATTAAACAAGCTCTTTAAGTTTCTCCATGTAAGACAGGCAGGGCTGGTGACAGGTTTCGGCAATGCTGGAGGGGAGGAGGACCCTGGCTGCAGCGCCTCCACTCCCGGAAGAGGCAGAGCCTCGGGCAGAAGGGGTGGAGCTAGGAGCTAGCATCTTCCAGCCAGCCCTCAGTGCTGCCCAGGGTTCCAGCAGTGATTTAAAGGCCCAGGGGCTCTGGCTGCTGCTACCTGGCACCTTATTAAATTGCCAGGCCCTGGGGCAACAATCTCATTACTCTCCCCCCAACATTAAAGGCCATGAAGACAGGACTTCCATTCCACTCATTATCCTAGTGGCCTTTCACGGTACCTGTTTCGGTTTGAATTAATCTTCCTTGAATACAGGTGACCAGAATTATACGCAGTATTCCTGATGAGGCCTTATCAGTGCCTCGTAAAATGTTAAGAAGCGGGAAGTTAGCCAATCGAGTAGTCAATAGAATTTTTATTGACTACTCGATAGGCAGTCAGCTCAGTCCTGGCTCGTGCTAGGTCCAGGACCAAACCCTGCTGCAGCTCTGCAATCTAAAACATAGTGGGAACCAGGGGGTAGGTGGCAGCAGCCCCTGCCTGCCCCTCTGCTGCTTCTAATAGAGGCAGAAGTGAGGGGGAGGGGCACCATAGAGACCGTGCTGGGTGAACCAGCTTTTAAGTTGGCTCCCCCCACCTTACCTCGCTGCCTCTAATACAGAGGCAGCAAGGGGGAAGGGTGCAAGTAGTTGACTCGACTACCTGACAAGCCAAGGCTTATTAGGTAGTAGACTACTCTCTCATATCCCTAACAATGACATTACATTCCTTTCCCTCTGCTGGAAAAAAAGGCAATGAGAGCTGCTGAGCGCTCAGCATTACTGAAAATCACTTCTTATGTTTCAGAAAACATCAGTATAGATTTGGACCTGGGTTTGACATTTCCAGTGAAAGGCAGAACTATGGCAAATGGAGGCCTTTGTTCAGCATAGGGATGTCAATGTGTAGACAACTACATGATTAACTGATAGCTCTGGGCTTATCGGTTAATCTTGTCGACTACATGCACTCTCCCCTCCTTGCTGCCTCTGTATCATAGGCAGCAAGTGACAGGGGGAGGGTGTGGGAGCTAGCTTAAAAGCTGGTTCCCCACGAACACCAGACACACCTGTCCTCCCCCCCCCCCCGTACCCCCCCAGCCCCACGCTGCTGCCTCTGATAAGAGGCAGTAGTGCGGAGGGTGAGTGGACAGGCTGGAGCTGATACATGCAGGAAGCACCTGTGTGTGCTGACTCCATGGACCTGCTTCCCCTCAGCCCTTGGGATGGGAGACAGGCAGGAGCTGGTTCCCCCCCAGCACCAGCCCCCCGGTGCTGCCTCCCACAAAGCAGGGGTCCGAGTTCCCCAGAGAGAGGGTGCTCTGTATCCCATGGAGCAGCCTCGTCCACTGTGAACCTAAGCCTGCTGCAGACAGAGGCTGGTCCATGCCAGCAGCCCATGTTTGTGGGGGGTCTGAGTTCCCCACAGACAGAGGTTGCTCTGCACAGGCAGGCAGCTGGTCTGCATGGGGAGCTGTTTTTTTAAACTGGCTCCTCTCGCAGACTAGCTCCCACCTGGCAAACTACACTGCTGCCTCTGATAGAGAGGTAGCAACGCGGGTGGCAGGGGCTTCCCTGGGAGTGGGGCCAGGATTGGACTGGCTATTGGTTCCACCTCCAGGAACTATCAAATAGTCATGTAACTGCTAAGATTTCATGCGGTTACCCGAGTATTCAATTCTGAACTAACATAGTTCAGCAATGATTCAAAAGAGCACATCATTCACTGCAGCACATGGGTTTTCTTCTCAGGCATCCCCGTCCAAATATTCATATTTTAGCAACTGATTATCTTAGCTAAGGTTAGTTTGGGTATATTTTTTATAGCAATATGAGAATATCCCTGAACTGAGTGGTATAGCTGCAGGATATTAACAGTTGCATTCTCTGTGGTGTTCACGTTTGTCAGAAAGATAATAGGGGCATATGTTATATTCACCTGGGTGTACATTTCTTTGAATGGATTCTTAACTGAAAAAAAATCTAAATCAATATCTAAAACGTATGCATCTCCCTTTTGTAGTACTTGAAGAACATCTTCAACAATCTCCATCAATTGACATGCATGGTTTCCAGGAGAGCACGAAGGCAGGGACTCCAATTTGTCTTGTGTAAATGTTTTCTCTTCTCCCCCTTCAGCTTTTGAATCTGATAAGTCACCCCTGGGAACTTCAGCCTTTGATGAAGAGGCAGTAGCGGTGTTTGCTGTATCTTCTGTATTTAGCTTCAGTCTCTTTGCAGCAAATATGTCATCATTTTTTTCCTGACTGCTGGATGTTTCAGTAGGAGTAACAAGAATGACATTCAAATGTAGAGGCTTCTGGTTTTCTAGCTGATCAGCAGGGACATAAAGACCATCGCTTAGAAAGTAATGATCTGTACTTGTAACCCTGGAATAGAGAATTGAGCATACTTAGTGTACAATTTAACTAGATGAGAAACAACCTCATGTTAACACTTACCTATATTTACAAGTAAGCGATGCTGAGAGAGTAAAGTGGGAGAGTGTGTGTGTGTGAGAGAGAGAGAGAGAGAGAGAGAGAGGGTATGTCTACACTACAGCGCTAATTCGAACTAAGCTAATTCGAACTAACGGATCCAGACTAAAAAACTAGTTCGAATTAGCGTTTTGCTAATTTGAACTAGCATGTCCACATTAAATGGACCCTGAACCGGGGTTAAGGATGGCCGGAAGCAGTGCCGGCAGGACATCAGATGAGGACTTAGAGCGTGGAGCTGCTGTCTCAGGATAGCCGAGGGCTGTGCTTAAAGGGACCCGACCCCCACCCTGGACAGACAGTTCTCAGGGGTGCCCCGCTTGCAAAGCAGTCCTGGCTTGGAGTGCCCGGACTACCCACACTGGGCACATCACACCACTCGGCCATCAGACCGGCTGCACTTGCTGCAGGCTGCCATCTGGGGAGAGGAGGCAATTGGGGGGCTGCAGGAGAGCTTCCACCCCCAGAAGCCCGCAGAGCCACCCCAGTCCTCCCCATCGGGAGCTCGTACCACATTCCTCCCTCACCTCCTTCCACTTACCCCTCCCTAGCCCCCCTTCCTGATGTACAAAATAAAGGACAATTGTGTTCAAAAATAGAATCTCT